AGTGCTTTAAAAGCTGACACATACGGGACTAGGGCTAGCGGACCACCAATATGATCACACAATTTATGACTTAATAAAAAATCAGGTTCTTTCAACATCTTTCTACATGCATTTCCTTCAAAAGAATCACCGTGGTAGTTTTTAGATATTAATTTTAGATGCTGCGGCCAGATTAAGGCTTTTTCTTTTCCCAAAAGAGGCACTAGGCATTTCCAAAAAATGTGGTTAACAAGACCTTGCAATATATGCAATTCCGGCATTACGCATTTTTCAATAACAGGCATGTCATCGGGCTCGGAAAATAACGGAGGGTTGATGGTGCTGTGGCTTGATTTGGCCGATTTTTTATTGCCACCAAAAGATATAAATTCCTTGTAATCTTGTCGCAAATTTCCGTATGTTTTTACCACAAGATCCTGTTCATCATTCTCGAGTTCGATCCGAGTTTTTAACTTTTGTAAAGTTACGAAGCAATATGGACAAGGGAAGGTTGCGGTGGCAGTTTGTTGTCCATTAATGATCAGAAGCAATTTAAAATCCGCAACGAACTTAAACGGAATATCATTGATCTTTATTAAGTCGAACAGCTTCTTGACATTTTCATAACTTTCTTTGATGTGGGGCACAATACACAGCATGATTAATTTATGTACACTGGTTAATTTTTCAACCTTTAGTCTCTTTACCCGAGTAGTATCTGTAGCAAGATCTGGATCAGACACATAATATTCCGGCAGTATAGTCATACACACTTTAAAAAATCCCTGGCCACCATCTGCCATTATTTTGATGACATAGTTACCAACTAAACTTCTCCTCTGAATAACCTCCTCCAGTATTTCTTCTGAATTACACCACACTACAGGTCTTTTCTATTGAACTTCACTTTTTTCAATATCAAAATCTAATATCTTATATCTGTAAAAATCTTCCAAAACTCTAGCCCTTTCTGCAACTTGCTTGGAATAATGAGCAGGTATTGATTTTCGACCAGCATTTGCTCGAATAAATGTAGCCAATTTTTTCATTTGTTGTCCTGAAGAACCCGAATGAACCTGGTAGGTATGTAAACTTTTAAAAGAAAGCACGATAGGTTCAGCCGATTTTTTGAAATACAGTTTTCTTTTCCGCCCCCCTGTACTTACAGTCAATGAATCAACTTTATGTCGTGTCGATAATAATACACTCTTTTCTTTTTGATGTATAAGCTCACTACAAACCTGCTCTTTTTGCTTCTGTGGGAGATTATTAGTTAAATGTAATATATTTTTTGCCAGCTTTCTTTTTGAACGAGTATGTTTTGTACAGGTGTGAGATATGCCCCTTCCAATTTCTTGAAAACATTGGTTGCATAAAGTTTTGGCATTTTTTTTCCTGTTCTTTCGGTGTTACGGGTGCTAACTTGGTCACTTTTGAATTTCGCGATCCAAACTGTCCAGTTTTAGTCTCAATTTTTAGAGATAAATTCAGGCTGTTACCTACTTTATTTTTTTTTTTCATATTGACTGATCCTTTGTGACGCCCTGTCAAACAAATATAACACTGGCAAATTGCATCTTCATCACTTGCTCTAGTTTTTTTCGGCAAAAAAATGTCTTCATAATTCGGCATTGTCTTAAAAGGCCTTTGAAAATTATTTTTAGAATGCTCTGCAAGTATCTTGCGACAATTACAACAAATGCTTAGAGAATATTTAGGATTAGAGATAGAAAAATTGGTATTTATGAATTGCTGTATAAGCTTTTCGCCATTTTCTGTAATACGGAAATATTCCATTTTTAGATTTCCGAGACTAATTTTTCTCCCGCACGGTGCACAAAGCTTCCTTCTATTTTCTTCATGGTTACAACGGTGGTCACAAGGATGGGGCATTTTGATTTTGAAAAGTTTACAAATATATATATATATATTAATTTACTAGTTTATACTAATTATATAACTCACTTCTCAAGAAAACAAATTATCTATTAATTTGTTGGGTTGTCATATCATGACATATGTCAAACCCCCTTCCCTCTTTTTGTAAAGCTATCGTATCGCTTTTTGCAGTTTAACTGTTTGATATATGGATTGTGAATCTTTCGTATAGGTGATGTTTCGATTTCGAGTTTTTTTATTGAGAATATGTTTTTGACAGCTTGTATCTAAATAGAGAACCCCTATAAGAATACACATATGCTAGAATTAAATAGATATTGTCAAAATTATTTTAAAAACATTTTTGATCATTCGAAAAAAAAATGGTAACCCCTGAAACACAGAAAGGGGTGATTCTTCCCTAAATGAACAGCTATAATTTAGGAAGGAAGTTTTCTTGTCTCAGGGGATGCTAAGGAATCACAAGGTACCAATGATTTTTTTTGGCATCGTGGGAAAACTTTTTTTTCTTTCCAGCCACCTGTGTACTGCGTGTTGATTGAACAACAATATTGAAACAAATATCCAGATTCTTCTACACTTCGGCACGTACCTATTACCCCTTACCCATTTAATTAAGGTATAAAGAAATTAAGATAATCTATTATAAAGGGATTAAGACAGATAATTATACAAATTCTAATGGTATTGGGTTTTTTCGTTTATACTGAAACATTATAAATTCCCTGCCCAACAACGTGAATAATTAACTAAATTTTCACGTTGTTAGGCTTTAGTGATTGGTCAATTTTAATATTCATTGTGATTTGAACCAATCGGGTTTTCAATTGGGATTAATTAATATTTAAAATTGGTAAAAAGTAAGGTTAACCATTTGACAGATATCAGATCGTGGTAATTTATTTTTTAAAATTATTTAAATATCTACTTATTGGAGCAGATTAAGTATACTATTACACTGTAAATTATTCGCATTATCTTTTGTATAATAATATACTATTATTGCCCTAAAAAGTAATTCATATTTAGTGTATGAAGTAATGCTACAGAAGACTGTAAGCGTTCAACCCCCCCCCCCCCAGCAAAGAATCTGTAAAAGTTACACCCCAAGTGATAAATGAAATATAACACCAGGGCAAATGTGTGTATATTAAATTACGACAAATAAATAAAATAAATACTTACGGTAATAAAGCTCATTAATTTAGTAACCCAAGGTAATTTTAAGGTTTTATATGCATGGGGAAAGTATGTATGCATGGGGAAAGTATTAAAAGGGAAATAATAAGTACAGTAAATAAAAGATAATAAATTACGTTTGAACTCAGGTCAAACATCCGGAAGGCTCCCGTTTATTTTTATATAAATATCGCTCATAAAACCTTTCAAAATGAGTGATTATGGGAGAGAGTTAAACGTATAAAATATTTAAAATTTATAACAAACAATAATGATATTTATTTGGATAGAGCAACAACAATAACCGCAACCCAAACGACATTTAACTTATTTTTCTTTAAAGAGAACTCTGAAAGAAAGGGACATTCTACTTAACCCTTAAAACCACACAATATCTCCTTACTGCGACCACAACCTACATATAATATAAATAAACAAATATATAAATAGTATTTATATATTTATTAAATACCATTAGATAAATAATACCTACATCATACTAGAGAATTCTAAGCTCTAGTTTAGATGCTCCTCGTTTTAATTTTTAGTTTGTCTCTTTGTTTGTTTGCTTATTTGTTTGTTTGTTGAGTGAAAGTAGATTGAGTCATTCTCTATTTTGGTATTTTAAATTTAACTTTATTCATCAAGCATTCCATCGGCAATAGGCCTCCATCATTCAAATAAAGGTTTTATAATTATTTACTTTTGAATTTAAGTTTACTGTTACCTATTTTTTTATGTAATATTTATTAGAGTTCAGGCTCAATCAACTTTTAGAAAAAAGAGTAAATAATAATCGGTTTCGAGGTCATTCCAATTGAGGGTCCACAATTGCCCATTATGCCTCATTAGTCGGCAAACTTTAATAACTTAATAAGTACAATAAAATGCTAGGTAATAATTTGACCAAATCACAGAAGGCAATGTCTGCGTTGCGCATTCAGATGAATACAGACCTTTACACACCTCTTAAAATTTACAGGATAGTAATTCAAAATGGGCTTGTTGTATAAGGACTCCACGGACAGTGGATAAACTTAATGTCGCTATCGCACAATTACTGATGCTACTTACTCCAAATGTAATACCAAATAATTAAATATGACTGGAAGAATCACTTAACTTATTACGGGACATAAATGTGAATCTGCGAGTACAATTTAATAAATCCCGTGTTCAAGAAAATCGATATAAATTACACTTAATTTACACAGCGTTTATGGTAAATCACTTTAAGAAATATTGATTAAAATAATTAAATAAACTCAAGTAGGTACAATCCTGACATTTAGCTAAATAAAATTCGATCTTTTCAAATGATCCCCGTCTCCGTTCCTTGACTACCGGTATTCTTCCCCCCTTCCTTTTCTTACCAAAACAGGAAATTCTTTCTACCCAATCGTTCGGCACTCGGTATGTCAAACACATTTTTACTTCGCGCTAAATTTTATGACTTTTTGAATATTTTCTTGAAAGCTTGGAGCTTTATTATTTCAAGTGTAGCTTATAAAGTTTAACACTAAATATTATTTATTACTTTTTAGTGCAATAAAAGCTTGTATATCAAACGTTTTTTAATTTTATTTTATTTTTCAGAAATGTTTCTTTTTGGAATTTCTGAATTTCTGAGTAAAATCGAGAACCGATTTTCTTATTTGAGAACGTATATATGCATTATACATATTGACGTAACTTAAAAGTTCATTGATAAAATGGCCAAAATAAACACTTTTTTTTGTTTATTAAACTTAACATATTGGTAACTTTTATGATTTAACAAAATGTGAAATTGTTTGCCTTAATTTAAGGATGATGGGCTAATTTAATCAAATATTGTAAACTTGCTTGTTTCAAATTCGACCTTAGAATTTCTTCATTTCATCAGGTTTAAGATAAATTTTAATTAAAAAATGCAACAACACAGTTTTTTATTGTTTAAGGTTTTATAACATCACAATATATTTATTGTAGCAATTGACATCATGGATTTTGTCTTAAAATCAGGACATCCATAAAAATTTAACTAATATTATTATTATACAGCCTAAAATATGGTTTTGCAAAATCCAATTCTATTTATTTTTTCCAGATTTCCTCACTGGTCGAGACACATGGATCCGCAGGGTCGCTGCGACCGGGCGCAGTGGCGCGCGTCGGCCAGGCCGTCAACTGTGCCGTCGAACGTTTCGTTACCGTCGGCGAAACAATTGCCGACGATTACCAGGAAGTTCGACAGGGCATGTACGAAGCATGCAAGGAAGCCAGACAAGCCGGTGAGTGTTTCCGGTTTTCAAGCCGAAACTGCCAATACCGATTGATTTTCACTTGTTTAACATTGTTTACATTTTTTGACGTTAATGTGTTGTTTAACAATGTTTGCAGGGAAATGTTTGTTAACTTTCCTAATTTTTATTTTTACTATACTTTAAGTCTAAAAGACTAAAAGCTTTTAGGATTTTAAAATACTTTTCATCCAGAAATGACAATTAAGTTAAAAGAAGTTCTTAATTAAGCATAAAATCTTCGTTTTTTAATTAATTTTAATAAACGGAAAAAAAAAAGATTTTTTAAATACAATACCATTTAAGTAATGAGGCTGATTCCATAAAAACCGTATATTTAAAATTTATTCTACAACTCTACCATCCCCTTCAAAGTAGTCCCTTTGGGCAGCTATACAACCATTCCAGCGCGTTTTCCACGGTTCGTAACATTTCTGGATCGCTTTGACTGGGATGAAGGATCCAGTTACACTGTTCAAAATTTCATGACCATTTTAACACCAAATTAACACTATACATGGTCTATATCGATACAAACCAAAATGGTGTTAAATGTGGTTCGTTGGTCCGGTGTTAATTCAAATACTAAAATAGTGTTAATTTAACTTTCACACAGTATTAAAATAAATTTTACCTGGTGTAAATTGAACTCCTTTTCAGTGTTAAATAATATGTGTTTGTGGTCAAATTAAATCATACTACACAGAAAAAAGAAAACAAAAAGGAAACAGGAAGTTCCTTGACGCAGTACTAGTATATTACCAGTGGTATTATTCCAGAAAATGGAATCTTCAACTCGCTAGAGATAATGTTTTTAGTGCGTTTCACTAACTTAAAATACTTCAAGTATTGACAGCTGTTTCCACCTATTTAAGGTCTCTTTAGTATCGATCAACTTGTAGTGTCACACCAAAGCAAAGGACTATCTGAGCTTATATATTCTTTATGTAAGTCAACAGAGGCGAGATTTAAGAACATCAGTCTCATTACTTAATTGTCACACCTCGTTTAATAGTACTTATTGCTTTATGTTTAGGAATGGTTATCAAAAGCAATCAAGTACATTGGGTATTTAAGGATTGACCGCTTCTTGGTTTAGTAATGATTTTCAAACTGTTTGCAGTATATTTACAACTAATAAAAAATATATTTTTGAATATTTTTTTTAAATAACTTTGTGTAACGTTGTACACACAATTTCCATTAAATTTATATTTAAACCAATTTTTTTTTAATTTTTAAATCACATTTTACCGAATTTATTTTGGTTTACTTTTTACTATTTGGCAAATAAAAAAAGTGTAACAAAAATCTTTCGATTGAGCAGAAAAATAAAATAACCGCGAATTTGTATAAAATGATTAGATTTTTGCAAGGAATCGATGGTCCGGTTATTTTGAAAAACCCTGTATAGTAGATTTATTTTTAGCTGCAACCTTTGCGAAAATATATTTGCTGAAAGAACAAAATATTTTATTTTTACAAAACTTGCTTTCTTGTTATACAAAGCTTGACATATTGACATCATATATTTTGTAAAGAGAAAATATATGAGAACGTGGTAAAATGATATCTCTTAATAGAAAAAAAGATGTTGGTTGTCTAAAACACGATCCAACTTTATTTATTTGGGGTAAATCTATTTTAATGATTCCATGAATTGAATGTATCCCAGATCCAAACTGTATTAACTCCACTTTTTAAAAATCACGTCTCACTTAGTTTTTTATAGAGATTTTTATATACAGGTTGATTGATGAACTGATTCAGTGGCAAATAAAAAACGAAAAACATATTTTGATAGGGATTTAAATGATCTACAAAAAAGGTATCCTTTGTTTTTTTTTTAAAACCTAGCCATTTAAAAAATATACATAATATTGTATAGGTGGGTAATATTTCTAGATAAACTATAATTTAAAATTATTTTTTTCTAATACCTTACTGGAAAACTTAATTTTCCACCCCCGAGCGAGGGAGGAAAATTCCTCTTTTCCTCCCCAGGAGAAAACAAAATTTTTCTCCTCCTTTTTTTTAACAATACATTAGCAAGAGTTTTTGTACCTTGTTTAGCCCTATTTGATTTTGTTAAAAAAAGATTTACTCCGCGATTGTCCAATCATTCTTTGAACAAACTAGGTATATTCATTTTCATATCGCTCTTTCGATTTTTAAGGAAGTAAATTAATTGCAACTATTCTTGCCTTTTCAGCAAGATCTTGCGGCAGGTCTTCTTCGTTAGAACTCATTTCAAAACGTAGGAAGAATTTCAAATTTATGATAAACATTCTGACAGCTTATAACAACTGTTTGTATTACCAAAAATACCATAGAAACAAAGTGTTGTCAACATAACGTCGGCGACGCAACACCTACTTAATATTTTGTAATAATTTTATAGCCCATACCGGGTTAGTAAAAGGAACCGGAATGCTTAAAATGTCTTAAAACCGTTAAAAGGTAATAGAAAAAACTATATACATACCTCAGGAGGAAAATGCGTTTCCTCCCTTGAATATTTAATGCCCTTCGCTTCGCGTCGTCATCAAACTATTCGCGGGAGGAAAAGCACTATTTTTCTCCTATGCTATGTAAATAGCTATTAAAACTCTTTTAGTAAGCACATACATTTTATTTCTTCAGTCGTGAAACTAAAAGGCCAATAAAACGCACGGTCAATGATTAACCGATTTAACGGGACATGTTTAAGCTTGCGAGAAAGCGTATAACCAATGACTTATTTATTTGCCAGAGTTACTAAACGCAATAACTATTCTGCTCGTATAAATTTTAACCAATTGAATTGACCAAGTTCCCGATTGTAGTTTTATTTTTTGTCTAACTTTTTTAAGATAGCAGTAAACTGGAAAATATTTTATGATTTATTATTAAGTAATAAAATGTTTTATGGAAAATTAAAATTATTTTTTATTGCATTTATAAATGATACAGCAATAATTATCAACAACTTTATACAGGGGAAACCGTTTTAACCGGTAAATGTGGACAAAATTCCTTGGACATGTCAATTTTTATTTCTAGGAAGACGAATTTTAATGTACGTTTAACGACCCGCTCCACCCCACCCTTCATCAAAGTCTTAAATTGCACGGGGATTAAGTGACATATCCTTTTAAAGGTCTTTTAATTCTTAATACGATTCTGTAACTTTTTAAAAAATCTCAGTCAGTTTTCGATAAATTGTTACTTATTTGAATTTTTAAATTTTCAAAAAATGTAAATCAACGAATGTGTGTATTTCATGGAGCAAATGTGGATTATTATCGCTTCAAATGTTATGAATTACATTTTTATTAATAGTAAGTTCTAAGGAAAAATAAGAGAAAACTGTCATTTTGATACCTGTCATTTTTAACTACGTCTGTACTATTGCTTGTAAGTTACTAAGAATGAATTCATTGATTACAATTTTACTTTTTACGTTTTCTTATATCAACTGTTGATTCCAGAAATGTAAAGAAAATAATTAAATTATTGGCGTAAATTTTTTTCTGTAAAAAGAACAAACTAGACGGCATATGGGAAATATGATAAAATTTAATTAAAGTGAATTGAAATTGCAATTTTACTGTGAAACGTACGGGCAGTTGAGCTTTCGAAAGGTTGTTGAAATAACCAAATTATTACTTTATTTTAACAAAAATCAGAAAGTTCATATGCCTATTATTGATTTATTTTTAGGTTTAGGGTTGTTATACAAAATTATTTTTTTGTTCCAAATTAAATTTTCTTTCAAAATATTTGAAAATACACAGGGTGCTCCATTTAAAAGATTTTATTTTTGTGAATATTTCGGAAAGCCGACGGTCAATAATTGTTTATTCTGATTAAAAAGGGTAATTTATAGACTTGTTTACAAATGTCATTAAAAAATGTTACGTAGGTTCTTGGTTAAGCATACGCTCTTCACCTTTCTACTTTCTTAATTATTTGGCTTATCGTTTTCATTTGGATCAAGCTAACGCAACATTCGCTTGGCAAGAAAAGGTCAGCAAAATATTTATCTTAAAAATTAATTATTATTATTATTATTATATCCACGCGCCTTTTTTAAAGCCATTCATCACCACATTGCGTGTCTACCTACAATGTTTCTTTTTTTATAATACTTACTGTAATTGTGTAATAAATATGATTTGATTTGATTTGTTACGCTTTGCAACTGCAAAACATAAGTTCAATCCTTAATAACAAAATAAGTTTTTTAATTAAGAATAAACTTACTATTTTTATTAGTAGAATTTAACTAGTTATTAGTCTCTGCACTCAGGGCCATGCGGTAGATTTTTTCAGTATGATGCAAGTTATAGAAATGCCGCCCCTTAAATGTTTTCTCTTTAAATTAATTAAAGATTCCCAAGAAAACTGCACAAAATGAAAATATTTTTAATTTAAAAAAAAACATAAATATAACAGAACTTTAATATTATTTTATTCTTCTAACTTTTATTTTAGCAAATTCGTTAATTAAAGATGTGTAATCTAGAGTGGCAGCTAATGTAGATTCAATAGATAATAATGATAGATGTTTTGTTTGGCTTATTGAATTTCCTGAGTAGTTTTTTATCAGTTTTAATTTTGAAAAACTAAAAACACTAGCTACAGATACAGGGAGTGTTAATAAAATTCGCAAAACTATAAAAGCGTTCGGATACAAAGTAATTAAGTTATTTTGGCACAAGTAATTTAAACCGTCTAAAGATTTCATAGAATATTTCAGCATCCGGGATACATTACGTATACGTAATGTATAACAACTATAGTTCTTCTCTTTGCATTTATACACAGTAAAAAAATATTTGTTAATTTTACCCAAATAATAACCAGATTTTATGTTAATCCAGGTCCACATAACTTTTTGTTAAGTTTACATCCAACTGTATTTTGTAGATTTAATAACAAAATTCCATGTCAACTTCAACCATAATTCTTGTATTTTTTACAAACTCTTATGAAGACCCAGTATCAAA